GTTCTCACTAGAGTCAGTAATGAGGCCACATGAACACTAAAGACAGAACACGTCCTGACAGCTTAAAGGCAAACTCTGAGAGGCTCAAATTGACCCCAAGTAACTTAATTTTGTGTGCACTAAAACAAAATCCAACATATGAGAATACAATGTCTGGCTTCTAAAATTAGGAAGCTGGACTCAATGACACATGGTCGGAATCCCACAGGCCTGATGGTGAGGCAGGAGGACAGTAAGTTCCTCCCAGCCTAAGTGATTTAGAAACTCTGTTTCCAAAGTTAAAAAAGGCCAAAGACTGTTACTCCTGGAAGAATGCCTAACATTTGTTAGGACATGGAGCAATCCTCAATACCACTCTAAATAAAAATCAGAAATGTAAAGAAGCAGGAAACTGTGAGCCAATTTGGGGTGGGGTGGGGGAAGGGATAATAGAAAAAGAATAAAAGTGACAAAAAATTATGGATTAAGGCCCTAGCAAAGAAGAACCTAAAACAGCTATTTTAAATATGTTTCATGTGCCCAAAAATAAAAATCATGAAAGTAACAGAAATGAAAGACCAAAAAAAACCCTGCCATCTAAAAGGGAAAAACACAAATTTTCTACATGAAAGAAAAATACAATGGATAGGATTAGCAGATCAGATAGTATAGTAGAAAAGAGCAGGAACATGAAGACCTGGCAATAGACTCAAAACAAAACGAAGCAAAAACAACAACAACAAAAAAAACAGTCTTGACCTGGGGAATGACACCAAATGTTCTGACATATGCACCATTGTTGCCCTGGCAGGAAGATCTAAAAAAATAAATGCTCAAGCATGGCACTCTACTACATACAGCAACCAACAACATAAAAGGGCCAGTTATAAATGCAGGCTCTAAAGCCATGTAGTCAAAAGCAGGACTGGGGATAGCTCAGTGATTCCTGCACTTGCCTTGCAAGCACAAGGTCCTGAGTTTGATGCCCGGTACCAAAAAGAAAAATAAAAACAAAAACCATTAGCAGCCTTGCCCTAATTGTAAGAAGGCAAAATCATGACAATTTTTTTGTAAAATACCAGTATTTCAATGTATAATCTTCTATGAAAAGTTTCAATATACACATTAAACCTATGCCCCCCCCCCAAAAAAAACCCTTGACAAGTAAAACAGATTTAGGTAGTAGGCTTAAAAATAAAAGTTTTTCCGCTGGGGATTTAGCTCAGTGGTTCGGTGGCCTGCCTGGCAAGCGCCAAGGACCCGAGTTTAATCCCCAGTATTAAAAAAAAATTTTTTTTTCATCAATGTGAACATTTGGCAGGCTGTTCTAAATCATGAAGATCACAAAAAAATTTTTTTTCTTGTTCAAAATTTTCCTGCAAATTGCAAGAACTCTGCCATACTTGGCTGATATCTAGTTACTATCAGTTAACATGCTAAACATGCTAACTAACAGCTATAAATCCTTATGCCCAACATTTTCATAATTTCAGTTATTAGGAATAGAGAAATTGACAAAAATAGTAAACATACCCCCTTCCTCCTCCATGACTGACGCATTAAAAGCAGTGACAGATGGATGTGACTTGGGAAAGAGAAGGTATGGACACACAGAAAATGTATTTTGAAGCCTGATACACACCTGTAATCCCAAAACTCTGGTAGACTGAGGTGGGAGGAAGAAGGAACAGGAGGGAGCATAGAAAATCTGTGTCAATATAAAAATATTTCAATTATAATTTTTGTTTTTTGTTTTTTAAGACTATGTAGTTCAGGCTGGCCTTGAACTCACTATGTTGCCCAGGCTGCCCTTCAACTCATGGTGATCCAAATCCCAAATGACAGGTGTACATCACCATGCTCAGCTCACTTTATAAATTTTTAAAGGGCTGGGGATTTAGCTCAGTGGTTCTGCTGTCTGCCACACAAGCACAAGGTCCCAAGTTCAATCCCTGGTAAGAACACCCACACCCACACCCACACCCGCACACAATTTTAAAGACCGCATTTTCTAGTAACCAAAATAAAATTAAGTGAAGATTAATATGTTCCTACCAGCTTGACCCACCAGTGGTACAAATGGATCGGTCTTTTTACTAATAAAATTAATGAAATGCTGCCTGATGTGACAGTCCTGCACATACCACCAGTGGTTCAAGCTGCCCAGTAGTGAGGCATATGAATTATGAATGTGTTTTGTGAACATGTTAACCCACAGGATCTAATCGACCACTTCGTGACCTGACAACTCTTAGGGCAAAGACAGAAATGAGTACCAAAGTAAAATTACTTAAAGCTACAGAATGGTCAGTATAAACGAAGCAGCTGGCTTTCACAAGGACTAACTTTGGAATTCCTTCAGATCTTCATTAATTCCAAGAATATTCCTCACCCTAATAACACAAAGGACCTCCCACTATATTCTATCTCTGACTCTACCTTTTGTTTTGTTTGGGTGGTTTTTTGTGGTACTGGAGACTGAACCCAGAGCCTTCATATTGAGCTGCACCTCCAGCCATTTTCAATTTTTATTTTGGGATGAGGTCTCACTAAGTTGCTAAACTGCCCTGGATGGGCTTGAACCTGCAATCCCTCCTTCCTCAGCCTCCCAGCTTCCTGGGATTACAGGCCTGCCTTTCCATGGCTGGCAATCTCTCACTGATGTTGGGGATGGAACCCTGGCACCCGGGGCAACCGAACACAGGCTCTGTTCCCCAACCCTAGCTCTGCCTCTTGAAGGTGCCACCCTCTCTCCTATGACCACAATGCAGACCAAGCTCCAGAACAGGAACTGATGAGGCTCAAACTCGACAGTGCAGCAGCAGGCCTTTTCTCACTGTCATACAGAAAAGGCAATGCACTTCTCTTTAAGTACTAATGTTCAGACATGTAACAGGGAATGTCTCCATGTTTCAAATACACCAGAATAAAAGTAAGAGCATAGTAAGCTGACTGAAATGCATCTTTTCCCATACAGTTTTAAAATTTACAATGGAGATGCAAAGATGGTACAGGAAGTTCTCATATAACTTCTCACCGAGTTTCTCTCACTGTTTACAACTCACATTACTAGGGTACACATGTCACCAACAGGATAACAACACTGACAGAGATTATCACCTAAACTCCGTAATTTAATCAGATTTCACCAGTTTTCCCCTACTGCCTCTTTGCAGTTCCAGAACCGCATTCAGGGCACCACATTACATGTAGCTACTGTGTCTCCTTTCTTCCTCAGACCTGTCTTTGATGACCATGACAACTTAAGGAGCAATGAACAGAGGCTCTACAGGATGTCCCTCAATTTGGGACTGTCAGATACTTTCTTCATGGCCACAAGGCAAAGGCGAGTTACTGGGAGAGCACCGTTCTTACCACTTCATTTGTTAAGGGTATGTCCTATAACATGATTCATTGGTGAGAATCCAAGTAACCTGGCCAGTTACTACTGGCCACGTTTCTCCATTATGAATTTGCTCCTCCACCCCTAACATAATGTACCCTGCAAGGACTAAGTGCAGCGCACATTCAAGGGATGGGGGTTCTAAAATACCTGCGTGGGGGGGAGATATCCACATACATTACATGGAATGCTACCAAATTAAAATCTGTCTGCTATCCTTCCCTCATTCATTCCATCAGTGTGAACTCATGGATATTTTGTACTTTAGGTTATAAGTTAATGCTACATCATTTACTGTGTTTAAAATGTTTCAGATTTGGACAGAGAGCTTTTGGGGGGGGGCTCCTGCATCCCTTTAAATGCTGTCATTATGCACTTCTGGAACCCAGCGAAGAAGAACAATGTTTACATTATCACAAAAGTTTAATTATTCTTTCATTCTACAGCTCACACTAATGTTTATTTGTTTGTTTTGTACCAGGGACTGAACTTGGGACCTTGTGCTTGTGACACTCCTGCATCCCTTTAAATGCTGTCATTATGCACTTCTGGAACCCAGCGAAGAACAATGTTTACATTATCACAAAAGTTTAATTATTCTTTCATTCTACAGTTCACACTAATGTTTATTTGTTTGTTTTGTACCAGGGACTGAACTTGGGACCTTGTGCTTGTGACACGGGTGGCGGCACCACTGAGCTAAATCCCCGGTCCAGTTACACACTAATTTTTAAGAACTGAACTCAGTGAGTTCTAAAGAGAAATATATTGAAAATTAAATAACCACAGTAGAGATTAAAACCAAACCAATTCCTTGGAGTATCTGACCCGTTAGCTAAGATTTCCATCCTGGAATAGATTTCGCATGTACTCCAATGAGGTTCTGAAAAGACTGCAAGTTGCACATCCTATTATTAATCTTCTAGTAAGTACACCTTTCTTTTCAAACAGTGGGAAGATAGGGGAAGAATACAGCAGGTGTGCAGACCACCTCGTCGCTATTCAAAGCAAGAACCACACTGTGGCATATAATAATACAGAAAATGGATTTCATTCTGATCTTGTTGGTTTTCAATGCATGGACTTCCCATTAAGATACCTGCTGTTTTCCAGGCACATGAGCCATGTTCATGATCTAGTCACACAGCTAATTACAGTATGGTTAAACCAAATTTCTCCCTAATATAAGAAAACATTTACTGGCCAATGCAACTATGGAACACTAGTTTGTAGCCAGGTGTGGTGGCACACACCTGCAATTCCAAGCACTTGGGAGGCTAAGGCAGGAGGATCACTGTGAGTCTGAGGCCAGACTGGGCCTCACAGTAAGACTCTGTCTCAAAAACAAAAAACAAAGAAAACCAAACAGCTACTGTCTTGCCATAGGGGAAGCTAGATTTAGGGGACAGTTCCTAAAGGCCTCCACGATGCTCTTATCACTTTTGACCTCTAGAGGGAGCTCAAGGCTCTTGTTGTCTTCCCCAGTATTAGGTCACTCCTACAAAGGTGGTGTGTCCAAGATGTAAGAATACCTGATGGCAGCACCCCAAAGAGCAAGTCAGCTGTCCCTTTAGGAATCTCTCCCTCCTCAGAAATGATTCAGGCTTGACCTACTCACCTGCTCCTGGAGAGCAGGCCCCAATCATTTCTTCCTCTCTCTTCACCAGCAAACTCCCTCTTCACACTTGGCACTGACTAGGACTTTATTCCCGTACCTGGAAGGCTGGAGGACAGACAGACACCTAGGAACAAATGCTTCCCCCTGTTATTTCCTGATGTAGCAGCAGGCCAGTGTGTGCCCAGCTTCTTCATTTCACGGCACACAGAATGTGATGTCACAAAAGGAGCTGTTCGGATCTGCCCAGGTCTCCCTCAGGTGTTCACATCCAAGGACCAAGGGATTTTCTAACATATTTTCAGGACCACACGTGCAGGGAACTTGCACAGGCAAGACCTAAAGTCAGACCATCAAATCTGTACTTCCCACCGTCTGCATAAGTTGAAAATGCACTCAGTCTCCTAAAGACTGTTTTCCTCGTTTTTAAACGCTTGCCTCACAGAGCTTCTTTGAGGGCAGACAAGCAATAAATGAAAAGAAATGAACCTTGTATGAGGTACATATGAGCACACTCCTGGCATTTGGGCTTTACTATAGAAAGGAAAAAGAAGCCTGAATTGTTTCTGGGATACTCGGGTTGGTCTGGCCCGAGGAAGTTTTGCTCTTTGGAGTCTGAGGCTAGAGCCCAATCGAGTAGTAAGCATTAAAACTGCCTTTGACCAGGCTGGGTGGTGCACATCTACAATCTCAGCAACTGGGAGGCTGAGGCACAAGGATCAACAAAATTCAAGGCCAGCTTGGACTACATAAAGAGAACTTATCTAACAAAACAAAACAAAACAAAACAAAACAAAACAAAACAAAATGAAGCTGTGACTCCTCGCTGTAACTTCCAACCACCAGATTACAGAGAAATCTGCACAGAATACAGTAAGTGCTACTGGTCTCTATAATCACCACTCCTCACCCTGACTCAGTGAACAGGAATATGTTCTGTGATAGGCTCCACAAAGACCACTGGCTGCGATGCTCAGACAGAACCTACGTTGCAATGCTGCCATGAGAGTCAGGGTCCGTAAGGTTATTTCCAGAGACGTGTTCTGGAACCAGTCTCCCTTCGTTATAACTTGTTCCTGGATAATCTGTTATCATGTTTGGATAAAATGGAATGGAACCATACCCTCCTGCAACAAAGAACAGAGAGATAAACAGTTGCTAATACATTTAATCTACTGGTGCGACAGACAACAAGCCTTTGTGGATAAGGTGCTATAAAAGTTAGAAAGAAGTATAAACTAACCATTCTAAACCTAAACTTATTATTTCATTAAAGGTCCACTGACTTTTAAATGGCTCAATTTTACAAAATAAATCACCTTGTTCACTTGTCTTATCAAATATAATACAAATAGTTTCTCATGGAGATAATACAAACAAGTAATGAAGCACAAAGCTCCATCATCTGTGCATATATTAATATATTTTCATAACCAGAACTGGTATCTAGTTATTAGTATCTACCTAAATTCTTTGCAAATTTATGGTTATTACGGCCATGCTACAGGAATCAGAACACATTTCACATTCCATTTATCTCAGTAGTCAGATCCAATTGCAATTTGTTTCTTTATAGAATTTTCCAATTTAACTACAAACTGGAAACAAAGGGGCAGCATACTGGAAGGCTGAAATTTTTTTTACATATGTTATATAAAAAGTTTTACAAACTTTAATTGTAAAACGGAGCCCACTGAGTTTTGTTTTCCTTTCTTTTTTAAACTAAGAATAATCGAATCAGGTGTGTGTCTTGGGTCATTCAAACTGAAGTAAAGAGCACTGGGCATTAAAGAAAGTGGAAGGAAACTGGAAACTAGTCTGAAGTTACTCTAGAAACAACAGTAAGCAGCAGCAGTGATCTGAGCCAGCACTGTACAGCAGCGATGCTCCAACATCACCAGGCAACACGTAAAAGTGCACCAGCAGTGTGCTGACACCTAACCCTTGCAGAACACATCATAAAGTTGGTCCTATTCATACACCCATCTGTCAGTGAATGCAGAGGCAAAAGAAAGGATGTAGGTGAACAAATTCTAAAATAAACAAAACAAGGCTTCATAATTGACAAAATAGGAGATGAAAGTTAAGAACATTTTCAGGTACTCATGCTGACTGAATGTGCTTCATATCACTAATAGGCAGATAGGTACAACTATTATCTAACAGCACCAAAATGGCTAGTACACTAAAGAAAAAAGGATCTACTGGCTAATCCAAAAGACATCAATGATTTCACCAAAAACCCTTAACTAAAAAAAGTAACATTTTGTGTATTTTAATTTAGTTCAGTAAGTTTTTTGCTCATTTTTTCCTTTTTTTTCCCTGAGTTTTTGGAAGTTAACTCCTGTGCTAATTTCATGATTAGCAACTACAGTGAAACTACAATTAACTGTTCCCATTATACTTTTAAAATCATGCTTTTCAAGTGATTTGGCAAGTGTTTTCATAACATTCCATATACTCAGGTCCAATTTCTTTCATAAATCTCACTGAAAAAAGATAAATACCAAAAGATTTCTCACTCAGACTGCTTACTCTTTCAACCATCAGAACTGGTCTTTGGCTAGGTAGGCTGAAGCTCTGTGGTAGACTTACTTGTGCACATGGCCTGTAGCACAATTGGTGCTGGTGTAGTTCAGAGGCAGAGCACATGGGGCCCTGGGTTCATTCTCCAGCACAAAATCAAAACCGCAACTCTCCTTCCCGAAGGCTACTTTTCCCAAAAATTTTGAAATTTTTATTTTACTCGTAATAAAGTTATTCCAATAAATACATTACTAAGCATTTACTGCATACTAGACACTAGTACAGAGATACAAGAGAAAGAAAGACAAGGTGTCTTTATGGAGCCTACATTCTTGTAATGACAAACTATTGAACTAATGAGTAATAAACATAGCATGTACCAGGTAGTGCTAAGTACTCTAAAAATATAAAGACTAAAAGAGAACAGAAAGTAATAGAATGAGTAATAATACTACGTGCTCAGAGAAAGCCTCTCCAAAGAGGTAACTTAAGAATTCAAAGTGCAGTAAAGAGAGGCTGGGGATGAGCCAGCCAATACTGTTAAAGAAAAGCAGAAAAGCCTAAGAAGAAATGAGGCAGCAAACTTGATAAAAGCAAGCAAGTCAAACTCAGCCATTAAAAAAGGATAGACTTAAGCCATTCATATGAAAATGAATGCCTCTGGAGGCCATAATGCTAAGTGAAATAAATGTGACACAAAGGTTAAATATCCCAGGGCTTCTTAAGTGAGCAACGAGAAGTATAAATAATTCAAAGAGCAAAACAAAAGATAGACAATAAGAAACAGAGTAATCCTTCTGCAGGTGGGAAGGGGATCTAGAGATGGAGAAGGGAGGGAGGGGGTGGGGAGGGAAAAGGGAAGTAAAAGGATTAAGATGTGACACATACCATCTCCCTTCCAGGAATGTATTATGCATTGCAAACGTGTATTAATTTTTTAAAAAGCAAGCAAGAAAAACTAATAAAGTAAGACTAGTGGTTGTGGAGGACACTGGAGCATTTGGTTGAAGCCAGACTGCATAAACCCTTGTAGGCCATGAGGGGAAAAAATCTTGTTTTTCTAATTTCTTTTAAAGTGAACAAGTACAAAATTCGAAGGAGGGAAAATGAAGACGGTCAGAACTGTTGTGGTAGCCATGAGAAATGACTGATTTTTCAAAAGACGCTAAAGACAGAAGACTGCCAGAGCTGTGCGGATGGAGGTGTTCAAGGACAGCACCATGGTTGTGAAATCAAGTCTAATGAGGAGGAAGGCAGTGCCACTTACTGAGACAGACACCAGGAAGACATGAGTTTGGGGTAAAAAAGAGAGCTACATAGTCTACTTACTCAACTTTGCTGTAGATATGAACTGGACATGAGTAGAAAAATGTCACAGAGGCAGCTAGATAAACTTGAAAGCAGTTCAAGGAAAAGAAGATATAATCAGGATACATCAGCTCATAGAAGGCACTGAAAGTCCCAACATTTATAGGTGATTTTCTAGTGGGTGAGGGGAGATAAAGCAAACCAGAGGTTTGGTCTGAACATCAGCCCTGAGGCTCTTTTATATTTAGCCCCAAAGAGGAAAATCCAGGTAGAAAAGATGACCTCACTGCAAGAACTGCTCTTCCAAAATTTTCCAGAAATCAGCCAGTGACATTGTTTCTGAAAGGACACAGTGGTAAAACTGTACCTTAAAGGACTTTGTTGAATTGTCTAGGTAGAAATTACTGCTCTGACAGTCTGAAGTTTGGCTTACTAAGGCAACTCTTAGTATCTGCCACAGGAGAAGTTTCTCCCCTATTTTTCTGTCTTAGGCTATTCTGGAAACAGGTAGAATAATGCAGCTTTGAAGTTCACCTGTGTTGCTTTTTAATCACTGATTTCTCATCTGGATATACTGAGAAGTACTTTACCTGAGTGCTGAGTCACGGTAAGCCCAAACGTGCAGTTTTGTTGCCCTGCCTGCGTAAACGATGGCTTTGTCAAGATTCTTGGGTTATAGGGACTAGTTTTCCCTCAAGGTTTGCTAGATGCTACTAAGTCATCTTTGAGCACGGCACTGTCCAATATACTTTCTTCTGTGACAATTTAAGCTAACTTGCTTTATTTAATTTTAACTAACATAAACCTAGTGGACCCCATGTGCCTAGTGGCTATCTTATTAAACAGAACACCTCTAGCACTTAATTATAGGAGACAGACAATGCCAACCAGTATGTCTTCCCTGGCAGATAACTAGCCTCCTGACTGGATATCTGTACTATTTCTCTATCCTATTATTTAAAACTCCACTAAGTTATTCTGAAGTACAGATTCATTTATTTTGCCTGGCATTTATTTTGTCTGTAAGAGAATAATATTAACAATCTCACAAAGAGTTGCACAACAGTGAGACTCAAAATACCAAATACTTAATCAATATTAGCAACATGCCCTGAACCCTTTGATCTGCTGTCTCTGATTTATGAAGATTTTTGTTTTTCTGACTCTGTTTCATCTGTTTCCTCTGACCTCTAGCAATGAATTTTGTTGTGCACTGGATCTATTCTCTGGATTCGACATTTTTGTTACAACTTTCATCTTACTTTCCCTTTCTATCCTGGGAGTATATTTCTAAAGCCAGGCACACTACCTGCCTCCAGAGAAAATAGCTAAGAATCACAAAGGGAACTGAACTCTTTCCTACAATTCTATAAAATGCTGCTAAGTTTCCTGGAGAATACCAATTGGTTGTTCTTACTGGCTGCCTTTTATATTATTTAATTTTAAAACGAATGGTCTGTATTCACATAATATTTGAAACTGTATTGGGTTTGATAAGAAAATGCTTACAGCCGAATTCAAATCTTTTAGACCTAGGGGAGAAATAGTTACTTCTTGTATGGCTCAAGACTCTTTTGGTGTACCAACTACTTCAAATTTAACAGTTTAAAGCAACAAACACCCTCAGGTTCTGTAGGCCAGGAATCTGGATGTGACTTGGCTGGGCTTTCCGCTTGCCAGATAGGGCTCCTGTAGGAGCAACAAGCCTGACTGAGGAAGGAGCCACCTTTAGCTCATATGCGAGGCTGTTGGCAGGCACCACCTCTTTGCCAAATTAACTCCACTGAGAAGCTCATAAAAAAGGATAGCTTGTTTCCCTCTGAACAAGTCAAACAGAGCAGCCCAACACAGAAGCAGAAGCCTTTTTGTCACCTCATCTCCTAAGCGATACTGCATCCCTTTGCCATACTTGAGATGTCACTAGGCCCAGCCATACTCAAAGAGGGGATCACATAGGACACGAATAGGCAGCTTTCACTGAGGCCAGCTCACAATGCTGCTACACTTGCTTGGCAGGCTTATAGTACCAGTAACAAACAGGCGGCCAGGCAGTGGCCTCACAAAGCAGCTCCAGAGCAGTTTCAACTCTGCTTTATGGTAAATCACTCTCTGCTGGCACCAACCAGAAGGCAGCACCTCTATTGTTCATCCTCCCCATGTAAGACCCATTCTGAGCTACTCAGCTTGTAATCCCTGCTTCAAAGTACAAAGTACACATTAACCAATGGCTCTACAGATCACCCTTCGATTTGCACTCTGGCTACTCAACACTGGTCCCACTCCTCCTACCCAG